TGCTTCCTCTGTACAGTTCCCTGCCCAGCTGCTGACTCCTGTGGCAGTCTCATCCCCCCTTGAGCCCCTGAGTTTGCAGGACCCTCTGCAAGGAAAGCTCAGGGCCCCACAGGCTTCTGCATGCCATGTCACCAGATGTCAGACTCACCCATTAGCAGGGGCCTCCCTGAGCTCCCAGGCCTTACCCAGCTGGGTGGCCCCCAGCATCGCCTGTGTTTATAGCTTTCACTGGCCCTGAAATCACTGTGGGTCATTCCGCTTTGTTGGTGTCTGCTTTCTGGGGCCCCAGCTCTGAGGATAGGCCCTGGGCAGTGAGGAGGAAAGCCAGAGAGAGGGAGAGAAGGAAACGAAGAAGCAAAGACGGCACATGGCGGAAGTCAGAAAGGAAAGAAGAGATGTGTCAGCAAATGCCTCAAATAAAAAGGCTCAAAAACCATGCTGTCTCCAGCAACTAACTACATACGAAGGAGATCACCTAGAAAAACCGCACAGCCGAAGCTGAGTCATGGAGAAATAGGAAAATCTGAAAAGCCCTGTGATGAGCAGATATTAAATCTGTAATCAAAAACCTTCCAACAAAGAAAAGCCTAGGACCAGATGGCTTCACAGGAGAATTCGGTTCAACATTTGAAGGAAAATTAATACCAGCCCTTCTCAAACACTTTCAAAAAGTTGGAGGAGAGAGAACACACTTTAATTCATTTTATAAAGTCAGTATTACCCCAATACCAAAGCCAGACAAGGAAACGGTGAGAAATGTAGATTAAAGGCCAATATCTCTGATGAATGTAGATGCAAAAATTCTCAACAAAACACTAGCAAGCGAAATTCAACAGCACATTAAAAGGATCACCCACCAGGATCAGGCGGGATTTATCCCTGGGTACAAGGATGGTTCAACACGCAGAGAGCCACACAGAGAGCAGTAACAGAGTGGAGGGTGAAATGCCAAGATGATCCCATCAGAGGCAGAAAAAAATCACACGACAGAACCCAACATCTCTCCACCATCAAGACACTCAGCAAACCAGATGCACACGGAATGTGCCGCCACATGATCCCTGTGTGACCAGTATCACGTACCACAGTCACAAAGCAAAAAAATTTCCCCAACAACCAGAAATAAGACAGGTCGCCTGTTCTCCACACCTCTGTTCAGTGTGGTGCCCAACACAAGTCCTGGCCAGAACAATAATCGAGAAGAAAGCAGGTCGGGTGTCTACAGTGGGAAGAGAGGGTGAAGGTGCCTTGGTGGCTGGCAGCATCTGCTTAGTACGGAAACTCTAACAGAGGCCATCAAAAACTGTTAAACAGAAAATGTAAACAAATTCAGGGAAGCTGCAGAATACAAAAACAAAGTGTGCAGCAGCTCGCACACCGCAGCGTACAACAATCAGCTGTGTTTCTGTGCACTAACAGTGAACTGTTTAAGAAGAAACTAAGAAAACAATTCTGTTTATAATAGCTACAAAAATAAAGTAAAATAGGAATAGATTTAACCAAGGAGGTGAAAGGTCTGTACAACTGTAAATCACTGATGAAAGATACTGAAAAAGGTACAGCTACTGAGAAAGAGCCTATGTTCATGGATTGTAGTAATTAATGTCAAATGTCCGCAAGACTCAATCTACAGACTCGCTTCAGTCCCTATCAAACTTCCAATCGTGTTTTCCACAGAAGTACCAACAACAATTCTAAAAGCCCCAGACAGCAGTCTTGAGAAAGCAGAAAACTTCCTGATCTCAAACTATCCAGAGAAAAAGAAGTGAGACCGGGCCGGGAATGAAGGTCGGTGGTACAGCGCCTGCCTGGCCGGGGTAAGGCCACAAGTTTATCCCACTACAAAAAAAAGAAGGGATGAGGAAGACAAGCAGGGTAGAGGTGTAGAGAAGGAGACAGTGTGATGAACAGAACAGAGCCCAGATAGAAACCCTCCCATGGATGTCAAATTGGCAGTGGAAATACACGGTGGGGAAAAGGCAGTCTTGGATTAAACTGTGCTGGGAAAACTGGGCACAGTCCCGTTACACATGAAAATCAACGTAAAATGTATTAAAACCTAGACATAAAGTCCGAAACCACAAAACTACAGAAAAAGGTCAGAGCAATAGTTTCTTGACTGGTCATGGCAGCCAGTGACCTTTGGCCATGATACCAAAAGTGTAGGAAGCAAAAGACCAAATCAAATAAAAAGGGAACAAAAAAATGAAATCTACCAAATGGAAGAAGAAAACATTTACAATCTACATATCCAAGGGGTTAATATCCAAAATACAGAAGGAATGTATACTAGCCAGAAAAAAACCTGATTAACAACAGGCAAAGGACCGCAGCTGACGTTTTGCCTCAGGAGACCTACAGACGGCCGACAGGTAGCTGGACATCACTGGTCATCAGGGAAGAAAACCGAAAGCCCTGCTCACCTGGGTCGTCTCACTACCGTCAGAATCAGCAGTGCCAGGAGGGTGCCAGGAAGGACGCCTTGCACACCGCCGGCACGGCATAAGTTGAAGGCAGCGTAGGTCCTTGGAAGCACCTGGAGCCATCTCGACCCAGCAGCCTCTGTCCAGATGAAGCAACCAGCGTGCCGAGCTGGTCCGCACTGCTGTGCCCCCTCAGCGCCTCCCGGCCAGGTGACAATGCAGGGCACAGCGCTTTACCGAGATCCTGCCATCGCGACCGTGGAGGGGCCTAGCAGGTGTTATGCTGGGTGAAACAGGCCAGATGCAGAAGACAAAACCACTTGACATCCCTCATGTGTGGAACCTTAAAAAGTTCCATAAAAACAGAAGGGTGGTGATCACCAGGGGCAGAGGTGCAGGCGTCAGGGGTGCAGGCAAAGGGGCAAAGCTTCCGTCACTCGGGCAAGTTCTGAGAGGTGCACGGTGCTAGCCCAGGTGGTGAGGCTCGAGCGGTCTGACGCCTCTCCCGGGGGACAGAGGTGACCACGTGAGCCATGGTACTTAGCAGGAGGGTGCAATCCCGCCCAGGCGCCTCTGCGTGTCTAAACATCGCGTCGTGTGCCTGGACACCGCCACACTGCAGTCAAGCTCAGGGAGAGGTAACTTACATTTAAAATTTCATGACTTCTTCTTGTAATTGTATGTTTTTTGTTTTTAAGTTTTTCTCTCTCTACTTGATTGTGTATGTGTGTGTGCGTGTGTGTCAGAGCTGTATGAGTTAGGGCACAAGTTTTAGGAATGCAGAAAAACCGTCCTACCTGAGGGAAGAGATATTTATCTTACCCAGGAAACACTGCAAGTCCAGGAGCACTGGCTGCAGGCACAGCTGGATCCAGGAGCTCCTTGGACATCGTGGTGTGCTCTTCTCTTGCCCACGCTGGCCTCGTTCTTGGGCAGGGGCTCCCCAACAAGGAGAGAAAAGATGCCAATAGCCACAGGTGCAGTCTCTTGTTCAGCCAGCCCAGAGCAAGGGTGGTGTTCAGTGAAGGCCTGGGAGACCCTCACTGGGCAGATGTGATTGGTGCAGGGATGCATGGGCACTGTCCAATCAGGGCTGGCCCGTGCCCTTGGCAACGTGCTGATTGGGGAGCTCAGGTCCTGTTTAGCTTCTGCAGAGCTCTGTTCCCCAGGAAAGGAGGTAGGGGGAGCAGAGGTTGGGGCCCAGTGTCCCCTCCTGGCTGGGTCTCTGTGTCCCATGATGGAGCGGCACCTCTATCGCATGCAGGACACGTCTTTGTCTAACTGGGCACTGTCCCGTGGGGTCTCCGTCTGTTTATTTGCCTACTTGATGGATTTTCAGTGCATTCCAACAGACAGCAGAGGGAGGCTGGAGGGGACGGTGCTCCTCCTTATTCATCCGTCCGAGAACTTTCCAGGCTATTCTTGGATTTTTCCCATTGGAATTTTTTTTAAAAGCTCTTTTGTTATGTTTTGTTTTTATATCACTCTTTTTTTTTTTTTTTTTTTATCGGTACCGGGGATCAAACTCACGACTGCCTGCTTGCAAGACAGGCACTTATGCCGCTGAGCTAAATCCCCAGCCCCCTTCCCATTGGAATTTCAAACCAGTGTGTCCTCCCGCGACAGACTGACATCATACTGGCCCACAGCAAGTCTGCCCAGGGAGGCCCATGCCCCCAGAGTACCTGTATCTGCTGCCTCTGCTCTGCAAGGGGTTCCCTCTGCTTAGATTCTGCTCGGCCGTAGTCATTCACCACACATGGGGCTCTCTCCCCGTCTAGGCCCAGCTGGGGCCCACATCCCCACGAGCCCCTCACCATCCTGCACATTGGGAAATGAGGGGGTGCAACGGCTCCCCCAGTGTGTGGCCAGACCCTTGCCCAGACCCTCACAGGGCTGAGGTCATGGTGTCCCACGCCATATAGAGCCAACTTGGGCAAGTGGGGTTCCCAAGTGACCTCTGCCTGGAGCTTTTGCAATTGAAACTCTAAGGTGAACCCAGGCCACCTCTCCTTGGATGGCTTGAGCCCTTGCAGAAGAGGCCAGGAGCTTCTGAGGGGGCTCAGCGGCAACCAGGGGAGCCAGCCTGCCATGTTCTGTGACCTCTGAGTGGCTCTCCGTGGCCGAGAGGAGTCGGTTCAAATCCACATATGCGCCAGTGGCCTTGGGCAAGAGCTTGTCCTCTCTGTAGCCTGCTTTCCCCAGACCGGTGTACATGGAAGGTGGAGGGGCGTAGGGGCCTCATTGCCACTTTCCAGCGCTGGGCGGGGCCAGGGTGTGGCGGTCGGCCTCGGCCTCTGGGCAGCATTCAGGGCCCTAGTCACAGACTCTGAACCCAGACCCAGGAGTGGAGAACACAGCCCCTAGCCACAGCCTTCACTGCACGGCGCCCTGAGGGTCAAGAGCCTGCTGCGCTGTGTGGGGTGGAGCCTGGGCATGGGTGTCAGGGACAGCCTAACAGCAGGGCAGCCAGGCTGACGGGGCACCATCCACGCTGGCGTGGGTCCTGCCCCGAGCAGTGCAGCAGGCAGGACAGGTGAGGTCCGCCTGACTGACTGTCCATGTGTTCTCCTTCAGGTCAACACCTTCACGTCCTTCGTGTTCCCCATGGTGGTCATCTCCGTGCTGAACACCGTCATCGCTAACAAGCTGACCATCATGGTGCGCCAGGCTGCCGAGCAGGGGACACAGCCCGGCACATTCAGCATGTCCATCGAGCCCGGCAGAATCCAGGCCCTGCGCCACGGCGTCCATGTCCTCCGTATGTAACGTGGGCGCTGGGCCAGGGCGGGGCAGAGGCAGCTGCGCTGCAAGACCTAAACCAGGGCCAGGTTCACAGTAGGTCCCGGCTATGCTACTGTCCACACACCAGGCAGGCCTGCTGGGCACTCAGTGTAGCCACAGGGTCGCACTCATAGCTGTAAGGGTAGCAGAGTGGGTCAGCCATGCATAGGAACAGGGCTCCAGGGAAAATCAAACGCCCCCAGCAACCAGTGGGAGGAAGAAAGAAAAGCCAAGTGGGGGCTCTCTGGGAGGTAGTGTCCAGCCCTGAGGACAGGAGCAGGTCTTGAAAACAGCTACAAGCAGGGGCGTGCTGTGCAAAGGCCCTGTAGTTCATGGATGTTTGTCAAGAAAGCTTGGCAGGCCAGGGGTTTAGCTCAGCGACGTAAGCGCCTGCCTGGCAAGTGTGAGGTCCTGAGTTCAATCCCCAGTGCCAAGAAAAAGAAAAAGAAAACTTAGCTGAGGGGCAGGTCTGTATCATGGTCCCATGCAGCCTCAGGGAACAGTAGCTTGGCTCCAGGTGCGATAGGAAAGTCTCAGGACAGACAGACAGACAGACACCTCTTTATTCTGAACACTGTGGTGTGCACTTTCCCTGCTGGAGCCTGTGGCTCCTGGTCCGGCTCCGTACGGGTTTGCCCCGAGGTGTGGCCAGTGCCACTTGCTGTGCTCGGCGAACGTTCTTGTGAGGAGCCCCTAGTGGACGTGGCAGGGAGCGGGCAGCAGCTCGGTGTGTGGGTGGGAGACCTCCGAGGCAGGGCCTGGCTTGTCTGTGGCAGAAGGATTCGTTCTCCAAATACCCGCTGGGGCCCAGCTGTGTCTTCACTGCTCTCGCAGGTGCGGAGGGCAGGTGGAGCCTGGGCTGGGGCCGAGCGGGATGTCCCTGGCCCTAAACAGCTGTCCTTGGGGCTGTGGCCTGTGAATTGGCTGGCTGCCTGCCTGCCTGCCTGCCTGCTGTGGGCTCCTGGGCCTGCCGTACTGCCATGATGCAACCTCCAGAGGCCGCTGCTGGCCCTTCCTGCTGGGCTGTTGGTGGCCTCCCAGTCATCACTGTCCTGACCAAGTTTCTGCCATCCCCTCCTGGCTGTCTCCTAGGCAACAAAGATCAGGAAAGGCACAGGCACTCAGAGACACAAGGCAGCCCCCGCCTGCCCTGTGTGAGGGCCACCAGGTCAGCCCTCGGGCGCTCGGTAGGGATGAGTCCATCTGTCCACCTGTCCACTGGTGCCTGGCAGCACCGAGGAGCAGGAGGTGACCCTCTGGCTGGAACCTTTTGTACTTGGCCTGTTGGCTGCTGGCTTGGCCTGTGCAGGCAGGCACCAGGGGGTGGTCCTGGTGGGATGCACCCCGCAAGGCCCCACTGTCGGCTTCCGTGCTGGCCAGTTCACCTCCAGGTCCCTCCCACCAGGGGCAAACTCTGAGCTGCATCGCCAAAGCAACGCCCTCCTGAGCCACTGGGGACAGGGCGACAGCTCAGGCCTCCCAGAACTCAGAGATCCAGTGGGCAATGGGACATAGGCAGCCAAACTCCTGTGCCTCCTGTGCCTCCTGGCTACTGGCACCCCTGGATGTTTAAGTTTCTGCCCCAGAAGGGCCTGCGAGTGATAACCTCACAGTACACTCCGGCTGCCCCTCTGGCCTGATCCCACCATCAGGCCTCTGTCCCCTCAGCCCCAGGAATCTGTCCAGAGCAGTCGCCAGCACCCAGTGAGGTGGCAGCCCCTGAGGTGTCCTCTAAGACCCAGGCACCTCAACTCTGCCTCCGGGGAATTTGGGAGACTGCATTCCTAGCAGGGTCCTGACTGCAGTCTCCTCAGACAAGGACTCCCTCAGACCAGGAGAGCTCGAGGCCTCTGGGTCCACTCTGCACTCCCCAGATGCAGAGACTGAGGACCCTGCTTGACTCTGTCAGGCACAGTCTGTTGTGGTCACCCTTGTGTGCTCTGGACTTGGGAGCCCTCTGCTTGCAAGGAGTTCCCCCAGGTGGTTTCTTAATTTTTTGTTTTAAAATTGTTTTTAAAATTGTGATTAAAAATTATAGAGCATAAAATTCCCATGGTGACCATTGGTAGGCGTGCAGTTCTGTGGCATTTGGCACCTGCATGCTGGCTTGAACCCTCCCATCATTCATCTCCAGAACCTCCTCTCCTTCCCCGCTCAAAGCCCACGCCCTGGTGCCCTCCCTCAGTCTGACACCCACCTTCCTGTCCCGTGCCTGTTCTCCTGGCTCCACAGCGAACTCACGAATGGATGCACACAGCAGCTGCCCTTCTGTGACAGCATAAGGTCTGCAAAGCTCATCCGTGTTGGTGCGGCTGTCGGGTTCCCTCCTTTTTGAGGCTGAGTAACATTCCACCACGTGGACGGGCTGCGTTTTATGTGCAGATTCATCGGTCACCGGACACGTGGGCTGCTTCTGCCCGCAAGCTGCCATGGGCTGTGCAGCTGTGACAGTCCCTCCTGGGCCCTGCTCTCAGTGCTTCGGGGTGTAACCCGCAGTGTAACCCGCAGTGGATTGCTAGGGCCCCTGCCGATGCTCTTCAACCTCTTGGGGAGCCATCACGCTGTGCCTGCAGCGGTTCCCGGCTCTCCCAACGCTCCGCTGTTGGTTTGCAGGGCGACTGGTGGATGTGGCACCACCATGCTTGGGGTCTGCCCATCCCCAGTGACTGGCATTGTTGAGCAACTGCTCGTGGCCCCTTTGGCCATTGTGTGCTCGTTTTCAGTTCACGTCCTCTGCTCATTTCCGAGTCTGCTCATTTGCTTTATCATCGATCTTCAGCGGTTCTTTCTGGGTGCCTGGCATTAACCCCTTAGCGGATGCAAGTGGCGGGCTCTCAGGCCCTGCACCCTGCGCCCACGCTAGTGGCCCACTTTGCTGTGTGCAGGCCGTGCATGTGGGTACAGCTCCGTCTGCCTGTCCCTCTCATGGGCTTTGTGTCACACTCCAGAAAGCACTGCCTGAAAAAGAAAAGAACATTTGCCAGACTCAGCCTTCTGAAGTTTCTGTGTTGTTTTCTTCTAGAAGATTTATGGTTTCAAGTCTCACATTTAGGCCTTTGTCGTTTTGGGTTAGTTTTGGACAAGGGTGAGGGAAGGCCCAGTTTCAAGTCCTGCACGGACAGCGCCTCCGCTTCCCGCCCTGACTGTGAGGAGGCTGCCCTGCCCTGCGGTGCAAGGGCCGTGGCCTGTGGCTGGCTCTGCTCTGCGTCTGTCCGCCAGAGCCAGACCGTTGTGATTACTGCAGCTTGCATGAAGTTTTGAAATCCGAAAGCATGAGAACTCCAGCCATAGAACCTTTTATGACGTTGCTTTGGATAGCCAAGGCCTCTTGAGATTCCTTATGAACCTTTGGGTTGAGTTTTTCTATTTCTGAAAAAGAAGTGATTGTAATTTGATAGGGATTGCACTGAATCTACAGGTCATTTGTGTAGCACTGACATCTTTAAGAATACTTTAGTATTCACCCTGTATCTCCCTGAAGCCTGCCTCTGGATCCACGTCTGCCTCTGGATCCACGTCTGTCTCTGGGTCCATGTCCATCTCTGGGTCCACATCCATCTCTGAGGCCACCTCTTCTCCGAAGCCCACATCTCTGAGCCCCGTCTCCCTGCCCTCCAGGCGCTGTGGTCGTTGCCTTTGTGGTCTGCTGGCTGCCCTACCATGTGCGCCGCCTTATGTTCTGCTACATCTCGACTGAGCAGTGGACCCCGTGAGTACTTGGGCCCTGGGCAGGCGTCCCCAGAACAGGCAGATGGGGGCTGGCAGGCCAGCACGGAAGCCTGGGCCAGTGTGCTGAGCCCGGGGCCTGCAGATGCACAGGCTGAGGCCAGGAGAGCCGAGTGGAGCAGACACAGCAGACCCTGAGAGCCCGAGCCACTGGACTGGGTCTTGGGGTCTCCTCACAGGCTGCCAACCGTAGGGTCTCGGCCACCCCAGGTCTACTCAAGGGTGAGCAGGGTCACATGCGGGAGGGCACAGAGAGAAGGAGAAGGTGTGCAGGGCAGGCAGGGGAGGCAGGCACTCAGCTACACGTAGCTGGTGCTCTGCAGGGGGGTGCAGGCAGGGGGGTGGGGCAGAGCAGAGAGCCCAGCTCCAGCCTGAAGAGGCCTATTCCAAGTGAGAGGGAGACCAGAGCCGGCCCCTGGAGTTCGTGGTCAGATATCCGCACGGAGTCCCAACCTCCATGCTGACAGCAGGCTGTCGCCCCAAGGCCATCATGCAGGCCCCTGGAGCCCTGGGCTGCAGGGTCTGACCGCCTCTCCCCACAGGTTCCTCTACGACTTCTACCACTACTTCTACATGCTGACCAACACGCTCTTCTACGTCAGCTCCACCATCAACCCCATCCTGTACAACCTCGTCTCTGCCAACTTCCGCCAGATCTTCCTGTCCACCCTGGCCTGCCTCTGTCCTGTGTGGCGGCGGAGGAGGAAGAGGCCGGGATTCTCGCGGAAGACCAACAGTGTATCCAGCAACCACGGCTTCTCCAGCAGCGCCACCCGGGAGACGCTGTACTAGGATGCACGGGCCTGAGAGGCCGCGGAGGTGCCGAGGGGAGTAGCTCGCCCAGGCCACGGTGGGGGCCTCAGCCTGAGGTCCTTTCTCTTCTGCTTCTTCCCCCTCCCAGCCCTCCTCCTCCACCAGCACCCCCAAAATCCAGAACCCAGAGCCTGTTCCCACCCTGGACCCCAAATGGACAAGGGCATCAGTGCTCACAGAATACAGCTGTCTTCGTTGTCAGATTAATGATGCTTAGAGAGAAAGCAGAAGGGAGGTGAGAGGACTGCCCTGGGCTGAGGGTCCCTCTGTAGCCCCCTCAAGATTTCTGCCATCCAGTTGAGGGGGTTGCAAGCCACAACCACTGCCCCACTTCTGATCCCATCAGGCGAGTCCAGCCCCAGGGCCAGGGCGCTGTGGCTTGGGCCTCACCCAGGCTCTTCACGCAGGTCACGGGCTGCCTCTCTGGGTATCCGAGGAACCCTCGAGAGCTCTCCTCCAGGCCTGGGCCCATGCCGAGTGTGAGGGCATCCCCACCCTACTCTGCCCTTGCCTGGGCCCACAGAGGGGACCTATGCTTGGCCATGCCCAGAAAGGACAAAGGGGTTAACCCATGAAAGCCCAGACCTGCCCCCCACCAGGCCTGGCCTTACCCAGGCCAAGACAGCCAAGGCCCTTCATGGACACGAGGCAGGAGGGCACCGGGACCTCGGTCCTGCAGAGTGGCAGACAGGGTAGCCTGTGTCCCCAGCCCAAGCAGCAGTGGCCAGCCGATACTTCAGGCACACAGTGGCGGCCAGACTGGCCCATCTGGCCTTGTGGTGGGACTCTGAGAAGGGCCAGTTGGGCTGGGGGGGTAGGGCCAGGACTGGAGCAGGTAAGAAGCTGGACTGTGTGTCCAGACCCTTGGCTGGCTGCCGCTGCCCCAGGCTAGGACGGCTCATTCGTCACCAGCCGCCAGGGTGCTGCCCTGGCCCGCAGCTCCAGGCGCCGGGAAGCAGGCGCCTCTGCAGTCTCCAGGAGCTACCTCTAAACAGGACAGGACCTGCACAGGCTCCCCACAGAGACAGGCAGGGGCCGCACGGGCAGTGGGAATAACAGAAGGATCCAGAAAGCAGGATCTGGCCTTTAGAGGAGATCTTGTGGTCTTAGGGTCTCACCTGCCGAGAAGGGAAGCCAAGCAGGGGCAGCCAGCAGGGACTGCACTACCTTGGGGTGCAGGACCCAGTCTTGTCTGGGGCAGCGCTGGACTGTAAAATGCTAAGCTGACGCCAGGTTATGAGCAGCCACCCGGATCTGGCCACTCTGCCATGGATCTGTGCAGTAGTCAAGGACACAAAATCCTTCTGCAAGCCACAGGATCCTTCAGGTCATCAGGGCTGGGCTGGCACAAGCCAGGCCCATTTGCTGACCCCTGGAAGGACTCCCAACCTAGAAGGGGCCTGCAGAGGGCAATGTGGTGCTCAGGGAGAGAGCTCAGAGTTCAGCAACTGCCAGATCTGAAGCTGGGCATGGGCACTGCAGTCTGAAGCAGCACAGAACTCAGGACTGAGCACTCCAGCCCTGGACCCCACCTGGGCTTTCCAGACTGCAAGTGCCATGATTCCTCCTATCCTCAGTTTCTCCAACTAAGACACAAGCACAGCCATTCTACTCTCTTGGCTGGCTGGGGCTTTCCTGGAAGGCATGGCCTAGAACAGACAGAGCCGACCCCCTAACCATGTGGGCCCCCAGTGCTGACAGCGCAGGTCTGGGGGCGTGGGGAGCAAGCTCTGACCCCAGCTCTTGGCACGCAGACTTGATCTGTGTGTGTGATGTGGTAAGGGGACGCATTAGCCCTACTCTGGGTCCTGACTTTTGGCCACATGGCAGTGAACCTCTAAAGGCTTAGCCCTGGGTGCCGAGAGCTTACACCCCAGGAGGTCCAGAGTCCCATAGGCCCAGGTGTGGTAGCAAAATCTATTGTGTGCCTAAAACACCCCTCCATGTGCACCGTTGCAACAGGGAGCAAACCCCTCTGTCTCTCAATAAAGCAGCCTGTGGGCACCGACTTGGACTCCTGAGCACCATCCTTCCCCTAAGTCATTCCCTTCTTCAGACAGGGGCTGCTGCAGCGGCCGTCCATCCATCCACGCACTCTCATCAAAACCCACGGCCATTGTCACGTCCCCAGAGACCGGGGACCCTCTCCTCCGTCCCCTGCCCTGCGTCTCAGCTGAGAGCTTGCTCCTGGCAGAAATTTCTCCATGCACAGTTGATCAGTGACTGTTTTTAAATTCTGGTTAAATTTTTAAAAGTGAAATCACTGGGGTCCAGAGGTGCTTGGCGGTGGAGCACTGGCTGAGCATGCACAGGGCCAGGCTTTGTCCCCACACCACGGAAGACCAAAGTGTGTCAGCACAATTTCATTCTCCTGAACGAAGCTGTCCAAGATCCTGGGGAAGGGACACTGTTCTGGAGGAAGAAGGAGGAATCTGAATGTAACTCGAAGCAGCCACTGGCCACAGGGCCCAGTCGGACCATCGGCATCTGAGGAAGACAGAGAGGCAGCCCTGTGACGTCGTGACAGACACTTTCCCGCCCCAGCTCCAGGAGGGCAGAGGAGACTTGGCAAAGCTGGCAGAAGCCCCTGCCTGGCATTTAGCCCCTGCCCCTTTGTCCTCTTGTCCACTCTCCCACCCCAACCTCGTATCCTTCCCACTCTCCTGCCCACAGCAGCCCGGCCCTGCAGTGCACCTGCTCACCACGTGCCCTGGTCCACAGCCTGCGGCCTCCACTGAGACCTACTCACCTCCCCCACTCACACCCCCCGCTGAGCCACCCACACCGTCTGAATACCCCATCCTCTCCTAGGCAGACTCCAGGGTGGAGGGGAGGAGGCCAGAATTGTTCTGAGGGTCACGGTGTGGGGAGCTATGGGAACACACACACTGGGGGTGAACCATGTCGACTGCAGTAAGTGCTGGGTGGTGTGAGGAGTCTCACACATGTGTGCACAGGCAGTGGAGCATCGGCTCCAGAGCCACCCTCCCTGGCTCCCTGCAGGCAGGCTGATGGGACCCCGCCCTAGGAGGTGCCTGCTGGCCTTGTCCCCTTTCCTGCCCCTGGTCTCCCTCCTCTCCTGTAGCAGGACCCCCAGGCCTCAGCGTACTGGCTGTCCGAAGCCAAGAGCCACCTTCTGTGGGGCAGAGGGCGGTGCTGCAGATGGCACTCCCACGGTTCTGTCCTCGACGTCAGAGGTGGTCAGCAGCAGAGTCACCCAGAGTCTGCCGAAGGCCAGTGCAGCCCCTCCAGCCCTGTACAGCCAGTGGCCCTGGGTCCCAGAACCCCTGTGCCGTCCATGCTCCCCTTTTTCGTTCTTCCCGTCACCCGCAAGGCCTCTCGGGGACAGCACCACCTCTCTTCCCGAAGCCCTTACATTCCCAAATGGCTCACTGGCTCCAGAGGCACTCGAGGCCCTGAAGGGGAAGTTCCCAGTCAGTCACAAAGAGTGTGGTCAGGAGCAGCAGGAAGCCAGCCCTGACCCTGGCCACCATCAGCCCCAGCCTCACTGAAGCCAGCACCCACCCTGTGGGTCTGCAGAGCTGGCCCGTGTGCAGGCCTGGACAGGAGAGAACGGTGGCTCCAGTGCCATCACCAGGCAGCAGGCCAGAGCTGGGCAGAAAATTCTGTCCATTTCAAATGCATTTGAAGGAGAAAAACCAACCTGAGCCTCCTGCTCAAGAAGCTCCCCTCCCCCACCGTCCCTGCCACTCCCTGCAATTATGCTTAGAATTTCAGTTTTTATCAGAGCACCATGGAAACCGTGTCCAGGCGGAGTCTGTGGAAGGAGTGATGTGGAGGGAGCGGATGGGCCGAGGGAAGGGCACTGCCAGGGAGGGGGGGCGCCCAGCTCCCACCTCTTGCTTGTAGAGGCCCCCAGTATACATGTGTGCACACACGTATACACACATGCAGTGCGTGCTCACATTCACACATGCACACACATATACATGCACACTTGTGCACACCTGCACCCTAAACACACATTCACATGTACACATATGTTGTCCATAAACATACATGTGCATAGGCACACACTTGTGTGTACACAGACTCACACACATGCACTCAGGCACACTGTGTGCAAACGAGCATGCATACACACATATCCCACACAAGTACACACACAGGCTTCAGGACCATCCTGTGGGTCCTGGAGCCCTGCAGCTCCTGTCTTGCCACCCCAACTCATGATGCAGGATCACTGGGCATGGGGGAACTCTGCGAGGGAGCACCGAAGGCAGGGGGCTCTTAGGGAGCACGGGGAGCCTGACCCTCTCAGCTCAGTCTCCGCTGCCCTGCTGGCCCAGGACTGATGGCCCGTGCGTCAGCCCACAGCACGAAGAGCAAGAAGACCTGGCTCCGATTGCACAGCCGGGAACCAGCCCTCACCACGGCAGATGGGCTGGATAAACTCCCAGATGCTCCCCACTCTGCGGGCAGTCACCTGCGGAGCTGCGCCTGGACCAGGGACCCGAAGGGCACCTGCCTCACCCTCTGCGGCTCCTAAGCCCAGCCCCCCAGGCTCTCTCCTCGAGGCGCCTCTAGAAGAAATAATCTATCTGCTCACACTCAGCCCTAGTTTAGAGTCTGCAGCCAGGAAGATGAGACAAAAAACGTCCCACACAGTCACAGGTAGGGCAGTGGTGGACAAAGCCCAGATGCCAGCACCAGCCTCGACTCTGGCATGGGTGAGATAGCATGGGAAGGAGGCCAGACAGAGGAGGGAGACAGGACAGAGAGAGGAAGCTAAGCAAGGCATGAGGGAGAGAAGGAGGACAGGAGCCAGGAAGGACAGGAGCCAGAGGCCGCCTGGGAAGAGGACAGTGACCCCATCCGGAGGAGGGTCTGGGGGCAGCAGAAAGTGTCCAGGCCTCAACGCCCACCCCCAGACAAGGGTCTCGCCCTGCAGAGCCTGTGAGCTGCAGCCCCCTGCCTGCAACAGCCCACAGCTGGGGGGTCCCCTCGTCCCTCCAGTGAACACTTCACAGACAGAAAACTGAAGCCTGGCGGAGAGGAATGACCTGCCCAGTGTCCTGAAGACCTCAGCAGCAGAGCTGAGACTCAGATCAACTCCTTCCCTCCGGCCAGGTGGGAGCAGTAGCCCCGAGGCTCACAGCTCACAGGATGGCAGAGGCCCCGGAATGTCACACGTCACAGTGTTGGGCCCAGCATCACAGAGCCAGGACTCTGCAGGAGCCTATGCCCACATTTGCTCCAGGACGGAGATCCTGAGCAGCCCAGGAAGAGGACCTTCCCCTAGTCACCTTCACAAGCCAGAGGCACCCAGCAAGTTCCAGCTCCCCAGGAATACAGGCTCTCACCGTGGGCTGGGGTTAAGGGGGCAGACAGTGGACACAGTGGCCAGCCCCAGGGCTCCCAACAGTGCCTGTGCAGAGCGCTGGCCACAGAGGTGGGGTTATGCCACTGCCCAGCAGCTGCTGACAAGCCACACCCAGGCATCCGTCCTGGCCTGGTCCTTTCCCCTTCTGTCAAGCGGTGTGCATGTCTGCCCACCGTGATTTGGTCTCCTCATCCTCACCTTGCATCTAAGCAGAGGGTCCTTCTTACCCTTGAGGCCACTTGTAGTGTTTGTGGCTTTGGTGATCAAACATACAAAGGCTCCCTTCACGATTCTAGGTTCTTCCTTTTAAACGTGGTGCTTCTCACAGATAGCCCATCTCTGCTCAGGGTCATGACTGCCTCTCCCCCATGTCCCTGGCTGCACTGCTGCTGCTGACACTCAAGGCTCCATGACAGGATGGTCACCACGTCTGCAGGTAGGGCTGTGAGAGTGCAGACTGGAGCCCAGGGGCTTCCACAGCCCTGGCCCCTCCCGGGGGCCCTGAGGGGGAACAGGAGCAGCGTAAGCCCCTTCCGCCGAGGACTCGGTCACATAGTCAGCTCACTCCTGATTTTGCAGGGCTGCTGGTACCTAACAGGCACTCAGAAAATCCACTGAAGAAATGACCGAGTAGAAGTCCGCTTCCTCCTCCACTGTGTGTTGGAGGCTGGCAGAGCAGACCTGTAGCCTGACCCATAGTCCTCCAGGGCCCATCCTGGAGCAGTGTCCCCACAGATGATCATAAACTCATGGCTGAAGGAGTTGGAGGCCCTCTGTGGTCCCAGAAGCCTCTTATGTGTTTGGCACATCACAGATGCATGAAATCAAGCAGGCCACAGCACCCACTGGACATGCCCTTGTCCTCAGATCTGCACAGCTCTGAGCAGAGTGGGAGCATGGGGGGCCCAACTTCACCACCCTAAGTGTCTCCTCCAACAGCACCACCACCACCCAGAACACACACGAGTCTTCCAGGCTGCACTCGAGCCTTTCTGGCCCCTTTTCTCTGAGATGCAGTTCTGGAAGAAGGCCTGTGTGCTTCCAGGCCAGCTGTCTCTGGGGATGCAGATGCCCAAGGCCCTGCCTCCTGATGTCCAGTCTGAAAAGAGCCACTTGTGAGATTGCACCATCTGTCCACTCCTCAGCTTCGCCAGAAACCCAGGGCTCTGCCTCATTTGCGCCAAGCCCACAGCTCCTCTGGGCACTGGTGATTTGATGCAGGGTGGAGAGTCCAGCAAGGGGCCTCTATGGGAGGCTCAGGGTTACCCAGGTGCCTGTTGACCCCAGCTAAGCCCAAAGAGGGAAGTCACCCAGGAACCAGGCTTCCCTCAGCAGCCTGAGACCAACTCACGGGAGCCAGTGGATCCAGCTACCCCTGCAGCCTCAGCACACGGGGTCACTGAAGCAAGGCGCTCAGACAAAGGCATCAGATGAGGCGCAGGTGTCCAAGGGCAGCTCCCGTGAAAGCGCACCTCCTATTCCTGCACACCCAGCACCTCCCCGGTGAATGCCTAGCATTCCAGCCCTTGACTCAGGGTGGCCCTAGGAAGCAGCCTTTTGGGGGGACTCTACACATGCACTGGCTGCAACCATCAGTGATGGTCACATATGGGGAGTGGAGAAGGAAAACCCCAGGAACCTCCAGCCCGCCTCCTGGTTGTCCT